AGGAATGATGTTCTCGTATTGACAGAAACAGCCATTGAATGGCAGAAAAGTTAAGAGTGAATTTCGAGAGGCCAAATTTACTACCTTACACTTATCAATGCTCACAAATTCAACGTGTTTCCCACCAGACCGAGTGCAACTGGTTAACTTTGGTATTCCAATGAGTTCAAAAACATCAGCCAATTTGGCACCCCCCTCCCAAGACAGCTGAAATTTCATAAAGACGATATAAAACTAAATGTAATAGAACATCTATACAGTAATATGAAGTGTGATTATGGATACAAAAAATTTGAGAACATACAATGAAAAGTTTCTTATATTTTAGGAGGAAATCATGAAGAAATAAAGCTGACTCTTTCAATCACAATTCCATATGCAAGTCATTGCACAAGTGCATACAAATGAAATATAAATTTGACAAACTCATTGCAAGTTCGAGATGCATAAAACAAACCGTTTCCAATAGAAGAAACATCCCAGCCAACTCCTCTTACTTCTCTGGTTTTGCTCATGGCAGTTCTCCTATTACCCGCACACTGAATAAATCACCAAAGCAAATCAGTAAACAAATGCAATGATCATAGTGCTACATAGTCCAACAGAATCTATGGAACAAATCATAACTGTAAAGTGGCAGTGACATTGTATTTTAGCAGCATCCTGTTAGTGACAAACAGAAACTTTCATTTCATTCTTCCAAAGGCAGAATAACATATCGAACAATATAATCAAGGAAGGAACATACACTGAATTGATGCAATAAGCAATGCTATCACTATCACTCACCTGACATCTCTCATATAAAGCGTTTTGGGAGTTTCAATCAAACCACTTATATCAACACAATATCTGCTTTTCTAAAACAAATGCTTGAAGTCAGTAACAATCCCCAAGAGAAGTAACCAAATTCAAAAGTTCAAGCAAGTGATAGCATGGAACAAAGAACAAGTATATAACCTCTCAATGTCATCAACTACAGGGATTGGTCCATGGTTTCTCTTGTAAAACAACTCTACCGGAGTCACATAAGAGGAAACTAAAGCGGAAAGCGGTGGCTCGGCATTAAAAGGCTCCTGCACCAAAGATGCCTATAACAAGAGGAATTACTCATTGAAAATCTAATCCATGAATAATATAACCTACAAAGTCATGCCTTTCAGGTAGCAATGGAAAATTTAAGGAGGAAAAAGGCAATCCTTTGGATTAAAGGAGGCATTTTGGACCTTGCCCAAATCAGTTCAATAGGCAAAGAAACAGCTTCATCTTGTTAGCAATTTGGACACCATTTTTTTCTCATGCAAATTGAATAAAGAACTACAATAAACTATAACATAATGAATCGGGCTTTCACTGGTTATTAACATCAATACTTACTAAATCAACCCATTAACAAAAGTCCCTGTTCTCTCCAAGTAAAAAAGATAATGAAATTGAATGATCTAATGTAATGAGTGATTAAACAACACAAAAGAATTGACTTGCCTTGGCGTTGATTTGAAGACAAGGATGGCAGGGCGGTTCTAGTGAATAATCAGAAGGGCCACTTATTGCTGGCATTCTCGCTGTCCTATTCTTCTACTAGAATGCGATCGATGATACGAACCGAAGCTATCGAAGTTTATATATATATAGGCTACGGAGAAACTACAGTCTCTGTGCCTGCTGGCTTTTTAGCGTGGTTCCCTAACTGCTTTGGTGATGACGAGGCTACAACTACAAAGGGAATGGACCCATCCACCGTAGAGTAGGACCCACTTCAACAAACGAAGATAAAGCTTTGATTTTTTCCTATTTGTACAAAATTACAAATTGTGTTCTTATTTTTAAGCTTGAATGGGAAAGAAAGTTTTGGAAGTAAATAGGGTCTTCCATTTTCATGGAATCCACAGAAATAACGCCCCCTGTTTTACAAGGTCGATAGTTGTTATTTTATCAAATAAATATGATTTGAAATTTTATCAAATAATTTATGTTAATTTGAATAAATTTGTTTAAATTATAATATTATTTAATTATATTTAAGAATAAACAGATTTGCAGAAGTTTATAAAAATATAAAGTATATTAATTATTTAAATTAGATGATTAATCTAATCTAATCTAAATGAAAGAAATATTGTTGTTGAAAAAAAAGATGGTGAAAAATTAATTAAGGAAATAAAAGTTGACACGATATATATATATATATTGTTGTATTATCAGTTCCAATGTTTCATCTTGACTGTACTAGATCGACCTACGTCTCATACTTGACTTTGATAATTGAGTCTTCTAGTGAAAATTTTTACTATACATAAGGACTCGAATATCAGATTATTTACTACTTGAATTAATCTTGTAGATAAAGTTGATAATATTTGACATTGAATATGAGCAACCTTAGAAAACGTAATCCATAAGATAGTATATATATAGTCAGCTTAATGGCGTTCTCTACTTCTATCTAAATCCACAAGATGCAGCAGCCTCTATCGTTTTCCATTTTCTTCTTCTTCTTCCTTGGATTTGCTTATGCAGGTAAACAAAAGCTATATTTTCTTTCTTTTTTCCTCTTCTTTGGCTTTGCATAATCTTGCTTTCAAGTGTAAGACATTCTTCTTTTATTCACAGATTATCTTTAGAATTCTGACTTTGAGTTCCTGCCAAAGAACGTGACCAGGGATTTAAATAGTGTTCGCAGTCACGTTTTCGGTCGCGTCGCATTTATCATAGTTGCTGACATAACGAATGTTATTGTGGGTATCGCAGTCGTGAATTTTTTTAAATGTCGCACAACTTACCCTAAAATGATTAAATTAAATATAATTAAAATAAAATTATAAAAATTAAATTGTAAAAATTTAGATTACTGAAATTAAGACTAAATTAAATAAAAATTTACACTTGCATTTTAAACTATGGGTTAAATTACAAATTCTAAAAATGAGAGTGATGTCAACTTAATATATTCTTTAAAATTATATTTTAAAAATTATTTTAAAAAATAAAAGAAATAAATCAACTCACCCTCCCCTTCCCCTTCTCCGACCTTTCATTGTCTAAAAAAAGTTCTTTTTCTCTCAACTCTCCCCTCTCCCTTTCTCCTCCCCTATATTTCATATTCTGAAACAAAAAAAAAATTCTGCTTTCACTCTCCCCTTCCCCTTCTCCGACCTTTCATTGTTTAAAAAAAGTTCTTTTTCTCTCAACTCTCCCCTCCCCCCTCCTCCTCCCCCCTCCTCCCCGACTTTTCATTTTTTAAAACAAAGAAAAAATTGCAGTTAGAATAATGCTTATAGTGTCCCGTAATCGGTGCAATTTACTATTACCCGTTAAATTGCGGGCACGACATACCGCTATTGGTGTAAATCCGTTACTCACCGCAAAAACATGAAAACCAGTTTCAGACGGCAGCGTTACCACAATATCACGATCGCTATCACATTTTCGGTCTGTAATTTAAAACCCTAAATGTGAACAGCAGTGTGGCATTCGTTTTGCTCAATGAAACAACACAATCTCTAGATGGACATTCCAAGGGACAGTTCAGTATATAATTGCTGGTACAACTGTTATATATTTGAAAACGGAAAAATAACTACAACACTAACATAAAATATGACATGCATAAGAAATAAGATTTAATCTTGTTAGGTCTTGCCTACCTCCATGGCGAAAGAACAATAATTCACTATAAATGTAGATAATACAAAAAATATCACATGTATCTCAAAACATTGTATATCCCAAAAACTCTAACTATCTCTGCAACATAAACTTCAAAAGTTATAGAGATCCAAAAAATGATTACATCTCTCCAAAATGATTTTTTCTCACATAATTTTAAAGATTAAACATTATCTCTATTTATAGAATCAAATATTTGGTCACCAATAATTCTTATTCCATAAAAATTATTGACTAAAATAAATATTTACTTTATTAAATAAATCTAATTACCAAATAATGTCAAATTAGTTATTTATCCAACAAGCTATTTTGTTCATTGTGTGCAATCTTGATTATTCTTCACGAGACCTCTTTCACTTGAATGACAGGGCGTATATTAAGAAGAAAGGAAGAAACAATGTCACCGTAGATGACCTTGTGCATTAGATCACCCCAAAAGGCAGAGGTAGGAATCTATTTCCCCCCTTCATTATACCTTGATATATATATGATTTGGTTAAATCCTTGCTTATGCAGCTTCTGTTCCCGACTCCATAAAGGCCGACGAGCTCTTGCAAAAAATTCGTAAATCTCTCACGTCCGCTGCTCTTTGATCATCAGCATGCTTTGCATGTAGCAAAGACGAGGTAAAGCAACAGAGCCATTAATACATGCTTGACGATTTCAATGGAAGAACTTCTTAGGGTTTGGCTTTACTCGCACGTCTTGTTTAAGGCGCTGTCATTCATTTGAAATAGCTGAATACTATTAGGCCAAAGGAATGATCAGTGTGCGCAGCAAGTTGGATAAAACTATGTTTATCCATTATAGATGTTTATATTCGTCCGCTATCATATCTATTCTTTATTGCTGTCAGCTTCCGGGTTTAAGTTTATTATTGCTCCTTGAGCCGGCTGGCCTTATGAATGATAAGACAGTGGTCGTTTAAACGAGCATTTGCCATGAATACTTAACTAGACCATCTCGATATTATGTTGAGCTTAAGCTTAAGTCGACATCAGAAAGCTTTGTTAAACTTCCACTCTTCATCCATAGACATTGCATGCAATAGGAGATTTAAGAAATATAACTTGCGATTGCATGTTTACCCCAACAATATCGACAACAAAATTGTAGCAACCGGACTTGCCATCTCTCCGGAATTCATATTGGTTCTGTCATGTTTTTTTCCTTGTTACATTTTAGAGATTCGCATAACCAAATAGAACCCGCCTCTACAAGGTTGATTACCATGCACCTTAGGAGATATGTCAAGAATATGGTCTACGGGGGTTTGAGAATTCCCAGATTCCATAGCAACAGAAAGAAGATAGGAGATGGCCATAATAAGCACAAACGAGTATCAAGGCCTTCATTTATTGACTTCTAACATTACACATAATCATATCATTCTCTACCACATCTTACAATTCTATCTAGAGGGTTTTTGATTCATAGATTATAATGCAAAATGGTTTTACAAAGCACTAATGCATTTTTATTCAACTGGCCAATGTCATTTCTCACTTACGCCTACAGCTAGAGCGCTCTATGGAAAGTCCTTGAAAAGCGGACAGCTGATTTGCACCACAAACCCTACTACAGTTGCACTCAGCTAACATTTCGCTTATGGAGAGCCTTCTTGTTCGCAAAGGTCTAATAGATCCAAAGTCTGAAAGAGTTCAATACAAAATATTCGTTAGCTTTGGATAAAAGAATTCCATTATTAAGTAAAATTACATTAATTATATTAGCAATAGAATAAAATGTTATGGCAAACTTATAATTGTTTGTCATACCTCAGGAACTGAGAGCTCTAGACGAAACTTAGGACCATCATAGTGGTGCAAAACTGGCCTAAAAGCATCCTCTTCCAATGCTTTGCAGAGTTTCCTAATACGGATTCTCACCTATGTATTAGGGCAAAAAATTAAAAGGGTTTGGATTAGTGCAATCTTCCATGAAAATAGACAATACAGTTCATACAAATGATAAACCCGAACTTCACCTGAGAAGGAAACCTTGACTCGCCTTTACACTTTTTGTCTTCCCAAGCAGTTGGATCAATGTTAGAACCCCCAAAGCTTGCTGCCTGTTCATATAAAGACAGCATAAAGGATCACAATTCTTATCAAATCTATTTCTTCTATGATACATAAATTGGCCCCGAATGTCCAATCACTACAATATTACAAACTCCATACATCCAAGGCCTTTCTCTTCCTTTTGGCCTTTGGGACTGAAGTGGAAGTGAAGGTTGCTGGAGAGATCGATGTCATGGTTATAAAGCATCATTGATTAATCTTATTGACTTTCACATAAATCACTAGAAATAACATAATTATAACTTGCTCAAAAAGAATCTTAATCAAGCAAAAGCTGGGCAAATGCAAACATTCGGAGAAAGAAACTTCAATAGGTGAAGAGCAACACATTGCCTAATCAACCAAAAGCATGAAGCATTACAGAGTAAATGAAAGGAATGCTAGATGAGAATGAAGTGGTTAACCAACCTCAAAATACCATGCAATTGATGAGTAGTGTAGTTATAGAGAAAGAGAGGCAAGCCAGGTGTAATTGCCCGAACAGAATCCCTGTATCTTGGTGGTAAACCTATTAAATGAGATAACAGCAACTTGTAAGGACTAAGAATTCCCACCTAATAATGAACTGACGATTACATCTACGAGAAGTCTTACCAAACAACTGGCGCTTTAAATCTTCCTGCATTGTATCATTGTTACAAACAAAGATGTAACCTCCAAGCACTTCATTTCTCGGGAGTGTCTCGGAAGCAGACAAAGTCCTGAATCTTTTATCAACAGCATTGTTAGCATTGCTGTTGCTATTGTTGGCGATGCTATTATAATTGATGTTTTTGTTGGTATGATTGTTGCCCAAATATTTGTTGCCGGCCAGGTTTCCAAGGCTGTTGCTGTTGTTTTTCTGGTAAACAGCATTCGTATTGTAAATACCATTTTGGAAGGAACTGTTGCTTACGTTATCTCCAATCTTGGAGTTCAGGTTCAACATATTAAAGTTAAGGTTCTCAAATTTGTTTTCTTCTTGGAACCCAAATTTATCCCTTATCCTCATTTCAGCTGGTCCCTTTGAAAGATCTAGATTGTTCATCCGCTCACCCTTTGTCCTCGTCTGTTCAGCCAACTTTGATGCCGCCATCAACCATTTGTGATCCTCTGCAACTTTCGACTGTCCCCGGAGGTCATCTCCCAACTGCCAAAAGTTATTAATGCTCTCCATGCTGCAAATCCTAATAAGAGAGGACAATACAAATTGTAAAGAACTCTTCAAAAGAAGATATAGAAACAAATAAAAAAAACTAAGCAAACATGAGAAAAAAATGAAGGTAGTGATTCATCGCTTGATTCTGTTTATGTCTCAAGATTTTCCCAACTAACACTTCTAAAATCAAGAAAAAGAAATCTTAAACAGTCAATATCCACTCATTTCTATCCAAGAACACACATAAATCCAAGAGAATTGAACCGGCGTTCGATCCAAAGAGAAAAAGATCCACTCACCAAACAAGCAACACTTGAAAATTCACATATCTTTAACATTTCCTCCAAAAAAAAAAACTTCAGAAATCCTAAAACTCAGGAGTCAACTGCACTTGACTCGAAAAGCAACCAACATTTCTCCAAATCCGAACACAACACAAAAAAAATTAAGCTCAAAAAAGAAAACTCGCACATATAATCAACTTAAAAACAAGATCCACAAAATCAAAATCACAAAAACTATTTTTAAAAAAATTAAAATAATGTTCATAATTAACAAAGAACTAAACAAAGAGATGTGAACTTTACCAATTAGGAAGAGTAGGACTTCTTTCGCCTGAACTAAGACTGACTCAAATGATTTAGAAGCCAAATTTAAGAACCATAGATTTGGGGATCCTATGAAGAAAGAGAGTACCTTTATCCTTTTATTTATGGCTTGCTGCTATGCTGTGAACTGGATTTTTATTGCATTTATATAGATCCATTTGACGATAATGCCCCTTGATAGTTCTAGAATTTTCAGGCTTTTTGTCCCATTATTTTTAAAAAAAGATAAATTATACTATGAACTTTAATTTCTCTTTATTATATTTTTATTTTTTAATTTATTCACTAAATAATCAACATAAGTTGAACTAAAATAAAATAAAGAGAAAAAAGTAAAAAATATGAAGAAAATAAATATACAAATATTGTTCACAAAGAATATACGCTCATAATGCGTGTCAAGATGCATATTTGAATGAGTCTAACGGCGTCAACAATACCCATGTATTGATTAGCCATATCTTTTACACTGAATTATTGCACGTTTAAAACATTATATTTAAACACTTAAGAATGCCTCGTATTTACATGATATGGGATTTGAGAAGCTATAAACATGTTGACTTTTAAGTTATCGAAGACATGTCACATGAACTTAATCAAACTAATGTCAATACGACAGTCAAGAATATTTTTTTGTACTAAGATTCTGATAATTTCAAAATACAACAAATGACATAATTTAAGAATTGATCTTACCAAGTTCAAGACATGTCATTGATAACTCAAAATCAACATTTTTTGCCATTAGCTTCTCAAATCTCACATTGTTTAGATATGATTTTTTTTCAAATATTTAAACATAATCTTTTAAACATGTATTAATGGAGTGATTGAATATATATATATTCTTCCAGTAAGTTTTGAAAATCTACTAATTCCAATAAATCTTTCTCACTTTCAAGGTTGATCTTGCAGCAACGCTAGCCACCAAATCAAGTTTGTCTCCTGCCTCTGCGGTTGGAAATCTCCTAATAAGGACATATATCTTTCCCAAAAGAGACAAGCATGTTGTGCCATGTACACCAAAAAGAGCATGCAATCCCAAAATGTTATTGTCCTTATGATGAGCTTGTAGATCAATCTTTTGACCTCTGGGTTTGACAAGTAATCTCCATTAATATCCAGACTAGCCAGGCGGCTTGTCTCTATCTAACCTGGCTGAAACGTAAGTTGAGCCTATTACTCTCGAGTTTGGACAATCTAATTTTAAGGAAGAAAAGAAATGGAGAATCCTCGACGCATTTTCCTCAACCCTCCCTCGTTGATTAACCTTCAGCATCAGTGGGTCCTCCTGCTTCTTCTCTAGTGGTGTCTTCAACTTGCCCCTTGGATCTTTCATATGCTTCTAGTAAGTATTACCAACAAACATTCAAGACAAACGGGCAATGAATAGCCAACAAACATATAAATAAAGGAAGATGAAAGCAACAAACCACATGAACGAGAGAACAGCCTTCATTTTTTAATTTCTTTGATATACACTCCAGTGCATGCTTGGCAACATCCTGTTCAGCAGTTCTTTTATTTGAAAAGGTGTTCTCAGAAGTATACACAGTTGACTGAAACTTTCGTGCAGGCATAGGTCCTTCATTAAAATACACTGGAAGTCGCATGGATGATTGTTGTGTAAATTTTTGTAACCGATTCTTATACATAAATACATAATGGGTCCTGTAGGTCCTAAACAAAATCAAGCATGAATTAGTTAGGGATTTGGACTTTCATATTAGTTAAAAAGAAGGCAAAGACAGAAAATATGGCTTACAAGCGAGCCAAAAAATAAAATAAACTGTTCAACAGCCAACATGAACTCAACCAAGAAAATATCAGAGAAAAATTATCCATAGTCCATACACTAGTTCTGTCAACAGCGTTATGCACACTTTAAGCGCTAAGATCTCTATATATCCTAAGGTGCAAGGTGCAGCAAGAAAGCAGTCACCTGAGTAAAGCACTAGTTCTGTTGACAGCGATTTCAATTCTAAAATGCCAACTCTCTAATCTTTCTAAACCTGCTAGTGCTATTGCAACCTATGACTTCCGCTCTAATTCTACCTTCATAATCTCCTTTACGCGTGTAGGAATTAATGTTATTATTTGCCACTTGAATCAAACTTTATATCCTCTCCTAGGCCTTTTCCATCCTAGATCAAAATAATGCTACCTATTGTGGCAGAAAGTGTGATAGCCAAAATAGGATTAGGCTCCTCCATGGCATCAAGTAACCATACATGAACGAAATTTCATAGAATCAGAAACCAGGGATTTAAAAAGCGGTCCGCGACCGCAATAACGCCCTCTATATAGCGAAACAATACCGTCCGATTCCGCTATTGCATGACTGTGATACCTGCAATCACTACAATAGCACCCACTAGAGGCACATAAAGTAAAAGAAGAAAATAAAACTCATTGTTACCAATTAAGTTATTAAATATTTCAAACAATTTCCATTTTGTAATTGGGGCAAAACGCAGTAGAAAAAGGCATATTTCCTTATGGAGACCTTCCACAAAAAAAGTCCATTTTGGGAGCATTGCCCGTTCCCCCTTCCAACCAATCCCTTGACCCTCCATGTGAATAGCCAAAAAGAAAATAATACCGCTCCCCTTCAATGATAGAAAGTCAATGTTTTCAATTTTAATGAAAATGCACAAAGCGCTTTCCACAAGGTATCATTGCTTAAAGACCTGAAACAAGATTCGCTTTTAAAGAATAGCCAAAAAAATCCATTTTATAACTTCTCAAGTAGGTTCAGATTATCAACAAGTTTGGAAGAGGATCCCTTGAAGTTTTACTGTAACATTGAAAACTTTAAATTAAATATTCCAATATTTTTATATCTCCAACTTATCAAACCTGCATGTCAAAGAAATTCACCAAAAAGTCCATTTAACGAAAAGCAACCATGAAATGTAAAACCCGCATTTCTAAATCCTTTCGCTTTTATTATTTTGTATTTTCTATTGCAATCAGAACATCAAACTCTAAAACCCTAGAAAATTCTTTTTGCATGTATGAACCAAAACTTGACTTTTCTACAGCCAAAAAAGACAAATGAATTACCATACTTACTAGAAGCAGATGAAAGATCAAGAGGCAAGCTGAAGACACCGCCAGAGAAGAAGCAGGAAGACCCACCGATGCTGATGGTTAATCGACGAGGGAGGGTTGAGGAAAATGCGTTAGGGATTCTCCATTTTTTCTTCTTCTTCAAAGTCAGGTTGTCTAAACTTGAGAGTAGTAATCTTAACTTACTTTTCAGACAGAGTAGATAGAGACAGACTTCTTGGCTGGATATTAATAAAGATTATTTGCCAAACCTAGAGGTCAAAAGATTGATGTACGAGCCCATCAGAAGGATGATAACAGCTAGAGATATGCATGCTATTTGTCTTTATTAGGAGATTTCCAATTGCACAGGCAGAAGATAAACATGATTTGGTGACTGATATTGCTGCAAGATCAACCTTGACATTGAGAAGGTTTATTGGAATTAGCATATTTTCGAGATTCACAGGAAGAAAAAAGATTTTCAATTTTTATTTTAGCATCCTTGATGCCTAGATTGTTTTCTCTCTGCTCGAAGCCTTTCAAAAAGGCTTATTAGAGGAAGTAATTGGACGGTTGGATTTCAATTTGAATTTGAGTTGTTTCTAGTTTATGTTGTGTAGAATATTTAGGGCTTACACTATTCAAGTTTAATTTTAGATTTGGTTCTCCTAATGATATTCTCGTTTAATTAGAGTGATATATATTTTATCATGAAACACTCCATTAAAAGATTGTAAACACCATTTTTACCTTGATCTAGTTGATTCCCTGCTTCAATTAGCACCTGCAACAGCCCCTCATCCACCACAATAAATTCCTGCAGCTTCCACCAACAACAGCTGGTCCTCTACAGCAACCACACATGCAAAGAAAAAGGAAAAATCATCTTTGATTCTTCATGTAAACTGGGACTATAAAAACCCCATAACAAAATGTAAAACACACAGAAAAAAATAAAGATAAATAAAGGAGAAATCTAGCAAAATACACAAAGAAAGTCAAAAATAAAAAGTTCTACAAAGGTTATTTCTACATTTGATTTTATTTTTTCAGCTTTATATTCTATTTTTATTTATTTTCAAAAAAAAGTAAGTTAAATAGATAAATAAATAAAACACAAAATATGATTATCTAATAATAATTTTTTAATTAATCGATAACATATATACTTAAAGGAGAAATTATTGGGGAAGACTAGCAGTGATAATATTTTAGATATTTCCTCTGGCGGGGCGCCGTTTTGTTACCATGCAAGAAGACTTTCGGCCGGTCACTGGGGTGACCCAGGCGATGAAAGAAGAGAGGAAGGTGGAGCGAAAGCATAAAAGATTCCGGTCAACCGAAGAAGATAAAGATTCGGAAGAAGAAGGTCCAAGAAGGTCATGGAGAGATACAATATTAAACTCGTCCATATTCCCGAGAAACGTTAACATCTCGATGGAAGTCGAAACTGAGGATTCATATGAAGAGGAAGAATATGAAGGAGACGATATCCCGACTATCAAGATCCCCCAGGAGTTAAAAGAAAAACTGATGAAACCATGGAGAAAGGCGATCATCATCAAGATTTTGGGTAAAACTGTGGCGTACAAAACCCTCATTAACAGAGTGATAAATCTATGGAAATTGGAAGGTGAGTTCGAATGCATCGATCTTGGATACGGTTTATATGCTATTAAATTTCAGAATATGGTTGATAGAGCAAAGGTCCTTATGGAAGGCCCTTGGAAAATTTTAGACCACTATATCACGGTTCAAAGATGGCGCCCTAACTTTGTGGTAGCTAGCGCAAGTATTCCATCCACAGCGGTCTGGATTCATATCCCGGGTCTCCCAATTGAGTATTTTGAAGAAAATGTTCTGTGCAGTATTGGAAATCTGGTTGGAAAGCCCCTGAAAATTGATTGTCATACAGCTTGGTCAACAAGAGGGCGTTTTGCAAGAATATGTGTGGAAATCGATTTAAATGCTCCTCTTCTGTCAAAATTGCGTATAGGAAATAAGGTTTATAACATTGAATATGAAGGATTGCACTCTATTTGCTTTAAATGTGGTGTTGTAGGTCATAGAGCAACGGAATGTTTAGTAAATCAAAAAGAGTCTCATACGAAAAAGGAACCTAATAGTGAACCACATAATCAAGAGCAACAACAAAAGCAAGAGGATGTGAAGAACTCGAAATTTCATCAGAAAGAAAAAGATGAGACAAAAGATAGATACGGTCCATGGATGCTTGTTCAAAGAAGATAACTTGGGTCAAAATTTAATCCCAAGAATCAAAGAAATAGGTATCAAGAACCAAGTAGAAATAACAGATTTGAAAATCTAGGAAACTATAATGAAGAAGACTTGGATAAGGAAAATGAGGAAAGTAACAAGAATCGGGAAATTAACGCAAACAGTAATAGATCAGGAGGACCAACAAGAGATAAGAACCCATTACATCGTGAATAAAGCAACAAGGGATTCAAGGAAAAAAATTTGGCAGGATGTTCAAATGAAGAAATTTTAAAGACAAATAAGGAAAAATCCCAAGCTTCCGAAACTCATGTTAGGAAAAAAGACGATCAGGGTAAGGCACAAGGAAGCAAATTTAGAGGGGAGGGTAATCAAGATGATGGAATGGGACAAATGACAGAGAAGGAAAAGTGGATCAATAATCAGGGACAATCCTTAATGCAAATAGAAAAAATGCAAGACCAAGAAGACAGACAAAATAAATTGGAAGTGGAAGCCGATTCAGCTGGTCAGGAACATATAGTTACGCTAATTGAGTAGATGGCCATAGAGGCAAACATTAACAACAATAATTCTAAATGAAGCTGATCTCTTGGAATTGTCGAGGTGTTGGAAATAATGATTTTATTAGGAACTGCAAGAAATTGATTCAAGATGTTAACCCATCCATTATTTGTCTGCTGGAAACAAAAGCTAAGATAGGCGCTGGGTCAATACTAGAGAAAAAACTGAAATTCGATACTCATTTTGAGGTCATTGCTCAGGGCCTCCGGGGAGGACTGATTCTTTTGTGGAATACAAGTCTACAGGATGTTACGATTAAATAGCATACTGACCAGGTTATTCATGCCGAAATCCAAGAGAATGGTAAGAAGTGGTTGCTCTCCACCGTGTATGTTCAACCTCATTCGAATAAAAAAGATGAGTTTTGGGAGAATATTTATAACTACGCTATGAACGTAAATCAACCTTGGATGCTGGCTGGAGATTTCAATGACTTCGCTATAATTGATGAAAGAGTTGGTAGTAACTCTGATTGCATAGAATGCATTTTAAAATTTCGGGAACACTGGAATATGTGTAATCTTATGGATGCTGGCTATGTGGGCAGTAAATTTACCTGGACTAGATATATCCATGGGAGAGTCATGCTTCAGGAAAGACTTGATCGATTGCTCCAGAATACTGATATGGTGGAACTTTTTCCAAATCTCAGAGTGATTACTCTAACTAGAGTCTATTCGGACCATAACCCGATCCTGGTTAACGCAAATTTGGAAATCCCTGTCGACAAAGAAAAACGCCCATTCAGATTCGAAGCAGCCTGGCTTACCCATGAAGATTTTAAAGAGATTTTCAGATCAACCTGGGATAAGGAAAAGGATTCACTTGTAAATACAGTAAAAGAGACGAAGAATGCTATTGTTGAATGGAAGGATACAAAGTTTGGTAACATCTTTAAACGCAAGAAAGCACTACTGAAACGCATTCAAGGAATTCAAAGATCTCCAAAATACTTTTATTCTACCTATCTTCAAGAACTGGAAAAACACTTGATGCTGAATATCAACAGGTGCTAAATCAAGAGAAAATCATTTGGCTTCAGAAAGCTAGATTTGACTGGATTTTGAAAGGGGAAAGGAACACTAAGTTCTTTCATCTCACCACAATGGTGAGACGAAGATATAATAAAATAGTGGGTTTATTTATAGGAAATGAATGGGTTACTGATAAACAGACTCTTTGCAATCACGTCTACAAGTACTATAAGGAGCTGTTCACGGGTAAAGAGTATAAACAACTTTCAACAGATTACGATAGATATTTACCCAGATTAAGTGAAGATGACAAGACTGAATTAACCAATCATGCTACAATGGAGGATGTCAGAGAAGCCTTGTTCTCCATGAAGGGATTGAAAGCTCCAGGCCCCGACGACATTCAACCCATTTTTTATAAACAGAACTGGGATACTGTTAAAAATACGTTATGTGACTTTGTTAATACGGCCATGGACCTGGGAAAGATGGATACTGAAATATTGAAAACTTTCCTGGTGCTCATACCTAAGAAGGCTGTTACTGAAAATATTACACAGTTTTGTCTTATAAGCCTGTTGAACACATCTTACAAGATATTTTCCAAGGTTATTGTTCATCGCGTGTGTCCTATGCTACAAAGGTTAATTGGCCCTTATCAAAATAGCTTCCTTAAAAGAAGAAGCACGACAGATAACATTTTGGTTGTACAGGAAGCGGTCCATTCCATGATGAATTTAAAAGGTAGGAAGGGTGCAGTTATAGTAAAAATTGACCTCCAGAAGGCCTACGATAATGTCAGCTGGGAATTCCTTCAAAAAACTCTTCAAGACTTTAATTTTCCTGGAAAACTTATAAAGATCATAATGTTCTGCATTATGTCTAGTACTATCGAGCCATTGTGGAACGGAGAAATCACTGAGAGTTTGAATCCAAAACAGGGCCTTTGTCAGGGTAACCCGCTTTCGTCGTATCTATTTATTCTGGTCATGGAAAGACTTTCTCATATGATTTTGGAGAAAGAAGATAGGGGTCTATGGAAAGCTTTTAAGTGCTCTAGAGGAGGAATTAAACTAAGTCATTTATTTTTTGCTGACGATCTCTTATTGTTTGCAGAAGCTAAATCGGATTAAATGAATATAATTCGAAGCTGTCTTCATGAGTTTAGCCGAGCTGCTGGAGTTGAGGTAAACTTACAAAAATTAAAAATATTTATCTCCCCAAATATTAATTCAAACATGGCTAGAGACTTAAGCAACTTATCCGGTATTCCCCTTACGAATGATTTGGGAACTTATTTGGGAGTTCCAATAATTCATAAGAGGGTCAATGCAGAAACTTATGCTCCTCTTATAGATAAGGTCATGAGGAAACTTGCGGGCTGGAAAGGACGAGTCTTGTCCATGGCGGGGAGAAGAACACTCATCCAATCTGTTTCAAATGCAATACCTATTCATACAATGCAAACAATTATGCTTCCAGTGGCCGTCTGTAAGAAGCTAGACAGTTTAAATGCAAATTTTTTGTGGGGAGGAGACACTAAATATGCGCATAATCACCTTGTTAGCTGGGAAAAAGTTTGCCGAGCTAAGCAAATGGGAGGACTGGGTCTTCGAAAAACTAGAGCCATAAACAATGCCCTTATGGCAAAAAACAGTTGGAAGTTACTCACTAGACAGGAGAATCTTTGGTGCAAAGTTTTCACAAGTAAATATCTTAAGGAGAGGGAGTTCCTAGAGATAGAATCTAGAGGAAATAGTTCTTCAACCTGGAGGGGTCTGTTAAATACGAGGAACTTGCTTAAGAAAGGATGTAAGTGGCAAATCAAATCGGGCACACAGGCTAAGTTCTGGCAGGACTGGTGGGTCAGAAAGGAACCTTTAAAGAATTTATATCCGCTTATGAATAGTCCTAGTAGAGATGAAGTAATTGCAAGTTATATCGATGAGGATAGATCATGGAATATCCAACGAATTCAACATTTTTTATCTGAAGAAACTAGGAAGGAGATTCTAAAGGTTCCGATCCCTATCTTGACCGAATACCTTGAAAAAGATAAAATTACTTGGGGATTATCTAAGGACGGTTTATTCTCAGTTTCTTCAGCTTATCAAGCAGCGTCTAACATGGAAATGGGCGAGCAAAATGGTGAGAATTTAAAGTGGATATGGAAGACTAAAACTAGCGAGAGAATTAAATTCTTTGTGTGGCTATCTTATCTAGACAAACTCAATACAAATGAAGTCAGAAGCAAGAAAAATATGACACAAGATGCAAATTACAAGGATTGCCGAAATGAAATAGAATCTATAAATCACATTCTCCGAAGATGTCCTATAGCTAGAAAAGTCTGGGAAGAACTTAGAGCTAGGGAACATGACAATCAATTCGAGTCGATGGAGTTTAAAGAATTGATGAAAAGAAATTGCACATCAAAGAAGACTGAGATTGATGGTCTAGAATGAGGTATAGTATTTTTAGCAGCCATTTGGGGATTGTGGAAAAACAAAAATGAAAGAGTGTTTAAAGAAGAAAGAATAGATCCATTTAAAGTGACAAGTTATGCAAAACATTTCGCCAAAGATATGGAAAAAGCTCTGACTGTTGTGCAGGGAAGGATGGCAAGTGATCCATGTTGGGTCAAATAGGAAAAACCGCCCGAGGGAAGCTGGCTTTTAAATACAGACGGAGTGTACAAATCTAACACAGGTTTGGCTGCTGCAGGTGGTCTGATCCGAGATAGTAATGGAGAATGGAAGAAGGGATTCATGTTGCGTTTGGGGAATGTGAGTAGCTCGATCGCCGAAATCTGGGGAGCTCGACAAGGCCTCATATTAGCTAAAAATCTGGGATTAAGAAACGTGATTCTTGAGATGGATGCTAAATGGGTGGTGGATTGTTTGAAATGAGAAAGGAGGGAAGAAATGTTGGATAACGATCTGGTCAAGGAGTGCAGAAATATTCTGGAGGAAGGTTGGGTTGTAGAAGTTAGACATATCTGGCGAGAATGAAATAAGTGTGCTGATAAACTAGCTAACCTTGCACTGCTTCAAGAACAAGAAACTTTGTTTCTACAAGAGGCTCCAGTTGAACTACTCGAGTTGTTGAGAGCTGACAAAAATGGTGCAGGAGTTTTGAGACAGTAATTGATTTATGTTCTCACCTTGTATACAAAAAAAAAACACAAAATAGGATAGTTAGAAGTTTTTTGGGTGTTCTGCGTATGAAATAAGGAGAAAGAATATGAGTTTTATGTTTATAAATTTTTTGGGTAAACCATGCGTCAGGTCCCTAGGCTTTGGAGTTCATTACTTTATTCACTTAAAATAAGAAAAATCACGAAATAATCCCTCTAATTTATGAGCCTATTTACACTTTAGTCACTGATTTCCTGTTTTTATTATTATTTCGAAATTAGCTGCTATATTTTCACTTTTTTTATTTTAATCTCTATGTTTTACTTTATTATATATAATCCCTTAATTATTTTTTTATTCACATGAATATATATATATATATATATATATATATATATAATTCATTATGATATTCTGATTAATTAATTATGGTTAAACCACATTATTAATACTTATATTTTATGATATTTCGAATTATATTATCATATTTTTATTAATATTTATTTATTTTTAATATTAAAGAAATGAGTTGTCTTAAAATAACTAGATATCATTTTCTAATAATTTTAATAAATAAATGCCCTATTTATAAAAACCTAAGTATATATATATATATATATATATTAGTTTTTATAAAAATTATGTTAATATTTTTTTCCTTAGAATTATCCGATTAAATATGAAATAACAAGATTGTAAATTAAATTCATATTCGAATTCTTAAATTTCTACTACTAGAGACAATTTATAATCAATGGGTACCAATTTTGGGCGTTGTGAGGGTGTTAATCCTTCCCTAAATGTAACCGATCACGAATCCCTTTTTATTATTAAAACGAATGAATTTTTGGTTATACACAGACCAATTTATCTTTTTAATTATTTTTTCTTAAAAACTCTTTTAAAATATGATTTTCAAGTATTCAAATTACCTAACAAAAAAGGTCAATGACGACTCCAAAACATTTTAATAAAAACCATTTATTTATTCACGTTTTCTTTTTTCGTGCCCGTGCGAAAACCGGTTACGACAGTTTGGCGACTCCGCTGGGGATTAAGCTGGTCAAGCCTTAAATCGATTATATATTGTCTCTATAATTAGAAATTAAGAATTCAGATTTATTTAATTTACGATTTTTTTATTTCTTTTAATTCTTTATTTATTATTTTATTTTATATCCTTATATACTAACATTTATATTTGATTGATTTTCATATATTAGTATTCATTTTTAATGGTTGTTTGTTAAAAGTTAGAGAATTTCCCTTTACACACTGGGCACTGCATTATCATAACATGAGCTAAAACTCCGCTTTATCATATTTAGTATGAATGAGAAACTACTCCCTCGTGTGGTTTTCACCTCCGTATGGGATAGGGGACCATTCTTTGAGCTCACATCTTATGTTTCTCGTGTGGTTTTCACCTCCGTATGGACATAAGAAAGTGTGTTCCTTCGATTTGAACTCAATCTGAAAGTCTGTAATAGACCAGGATTAAGGGTTTGGTAGCCCAAGGGGAACCAACAAAGGATAATTCGATGACCATTTTCACTTTAGAGCCAAACTCAGCATATAATAAATTTAGAATTTAAGTCTAAGTAGAGCTTAACCTGATTAAGTCTCGTAAAGTTAACACATAAGGGAAAATTTATTAAGTTTTTATTTTTACATAATATTACTTTAAGGAATTAGATTGCATGAAGCTAGGATTTTTATGATTATTGCCTATTTTTTTCTATTTATTTTTGTTTTGCATTATATTTTTCATACTATGGTGTTGAATTATGATTGATGTCTATATAGAAAGCTAGAAATATGGAATGAGGAGTTTATGAAGTAAAAGACAATGCAATTGTTTTAAGATGGTATGAGCAATCTCAACTTGTCAAGGGAAATAGTCTA